TTTCTACAGACAAGTCGACTACACAACAATCAACTTCAAAAGAGTCGACAACAGAAGATTTAACTACAAAAGACGAGTTAACTACTATTCCATCAACTACAAAAAAATCAACAACAGAGGACTCGACTACAGGAGACGGATCAACCACAGGCGCGTCAACAACACAAGAATTGACTACAGGTGCATCAACTACACAACAGTCTACGTCAACAGAACAGTCAACAGAAAAATCAACAACAGCAGATCAGTCAACAACCTGTCTCTTATACACATCTTCAACATCTATAGACGAGCCAATAACAAGCATGTCAACAACACAGCAATTTTCTACAGAAAAGTCGACTACACAACAATCAACTTCAAAAGAGTCGACAACAAAAGACGAGTTAACTACTATTCCATCAACTACAAAACAATCAACAACAGAGGACTCAACTACAGGAGACGGGTCAACCACAGATGCGTCAACAACACAAGAATTGACTACAGGCGCATTAACTACACAACAATCTACATCAACGGAACAGTCAACAGAACAATCAACAACACGAGATCAGTCGACGACAATTCACTCAACTACACAACAGTCAACTACAGTTGAGTCAACATCTATAGACGAGCCAATAACAAGCATGTCAACAACACAGCAATTTTCTACAGACAAGTCGACTACACAACAATCAACTTCAAAAGAGTCGACAACAGAAGATTTAACAACAAGAGACGAGTTTACTACTATTCCATCAACTACAAAACAATCAACAACAGAGGACTCGACTACAGGAGACGGGTCAACCACAGGCACGTCAACAACACAAGAATTGACTACAGGCGCATTAACTACACAACAATCTACATCAACTGAACAGTCAACAGAACAATCAACAACACGAGATCAGTCGACGACAATTCACTCAACTACACAACAGTCAACTACATTTGATTCATCATCTATAGACGAGTCAACGACAAGCATGTCAACAACACAGCAATTTTCTACAGACAAGTCGACTACACAACAATCAACTTCAAAAGAGTCGACAACAGGAGATTTAACAACAAATGAAGAGTTAACTACTATTCCATCTACTACAAGACAATCAACAACAGAGGACTCGACTACAGGAGACGGGTCAACCACAGGCACGTCAACAACACAAGAATTGACTACAGGCGCATTAACTACACAACAATCTACATCTACGGAACAGTCAACAGAACAATCAACAACACCAGATCAGTCGACGACAATTCACTCAACTACACAACAAACAACTACAGTTGAGTCAACATCTATAGACGAGTCAACGACAAGCATGTCAACAACACAGCAATTT